GTGGTGGTTACGTGCTGTGGAGTCGGTTTCGACTCATAGCAACCTATACAAGGGTTTCCAAGGCTGTAAATCTTTACGGGAGCAGAAAGCCTCATATTTCTCCTGCAGAATAGCTGTTAGTTTCGAACTGGTGACCTTGTGGTTCGCAGCCTGATTTGTAACCACTACGGTACCAGAGCTATTAGCCTGCTATATTTGGTCAAACTTAGAAGCTGGGATGGGCGCTGTGGGTTAATGCGCCAGATGGCAAAGCCATTTGAACTGCAAGGTCGGCGGTTCACGCTCACCAGCTGCTCCTTGGTGATCCTATACAGGGTCGCTATGGGTCGGAATGGACTTGACAGCACTTGACAACAACAATGATGCAATGGAGTCCTGGTGTGGCGCTGTGGGTTAATGCACCAGACTGCAAAGCCATTTGAACTGCAAGGTCAGTGGTTCAAGCTTACCAGCTGCTCCGTGGAAACCCTGTACAGGATTGCTATGAGTCGGAATTGACTCGATGGCACTTAACAACAACAGTGTGATGATGGAGTACTGGTGGTGGCACCTTAGGATAAGCACTTGACCTCAAGGTCTGTTTAAACCACATGGTTGGTGGTTCAAACTCACCAACTGCTCTTTGGAAACCCTCTACAGGGTCGCTGTGAGTCAGAACCAACTCGACTGCACTTCACAACAGCAGCAGCAGTGTGATGCTGGAACTGTGCTTACCACATGATTTTGCTGGCATTATATGGCCCAAGGGCTGGACGCTCCCCACCCCTATTTTAAAGAATTGTCTCTTTGAGGAAATGCCTTTTCCCTCCTATTTTGTTTTGATCATTCTTGACTACTTAAATTCTTTGTAAGTAAGGGAGGTCATTTTAAAAAACTTTGTAATAAATGATAAAGCTTATTGCTATATGTTTTAGTATCTGGGGAATGGGATGGAAGTGAGATAGAGAAAGGTTTTAGTAGTCTGACATGGTGGAGAAGAATTTATTTCTGTGTTCTTCCTCTTCTTTGTTTGCACACACCCTGTTTTCTGGAATGGGTCACTTTTGCCGTCCATTGTGGTGAAAAGTCTAGGCTCTGGGGCCGACCAGTCTGCCTGGGTTTGTACATGTCTGCAGTATTTAATTGAGGTCCTGGTGTGGTGCTGTGGGTTAATGCACCAAACTGCAAGGTCAGTTTGAATCACAAGGTTGGCTGTTCAAGCTTACCAGCTGCTCCTTGAAAATCACATACCAGGGTATCCATGGGTCGGAACTGACTTGATAGCACTTAACAACAACAACAACAACAATGCTTATTAGCAGAATAACTGAGAAGCCACTGTCTTGGTTTTCTCATCTGTAAGGTGGGAAATAGTACGTACAGCAGAGGGCTGTTACCAGCATTAAATGAGGTATGTGTCATGTGCATAGAAGAACATCTAATAAATACAACTAATAAGAGCCAGTAACTATCAAGCCACCTCTGACTCATGGTGACCCACATGTGTCAGAGTAGAACTGTGTTCTATAGGGTTTTCAATGACTGATTTTTTAAAAGTAGCTCGCCAAGACCTTTCTTCTAGGAAACCTCTGAGTGGACCTGAACTTCCACTCTTTTAGTGAACAGGTGAGTATGCTAATCAGTACTATTCAGGTGCTTCATATATACCCAGTGGTGGTGGTTGGTTGGTGGTTGTGTGCCAAGTCAGTTCTGACTTGTATTAACACTGTTAAGGTTTCCAAGGAGCAGCTGGTGGGTTTGAACCATCAACCTTGCAGTTAGCAATCCAGTGCTTATCCTACAGTGCCCCATCAGGACTACTTTTTTTGCTGTGAAGTGCTGTCAAGTTGGTTCTGACTCATAGCGACCCTGTATAGGGTTTCTGAGGAGCAGCTGGTGGGTTTGAATTGCTGACCTTGTGGTTCGCTATCCAGTGCTGATCCTTGGTGTGACTCAATTAGTTCTTCAGTCTAAGGCTAGATGTTTTGAAACTGAGTGCATAGAATAAGACACATTTAATGCCTTAACTTAAAAACAACTTTAAGATCTTTTTAGGCCTTTGAGGACCTGTGAAGGTGGTGGAGTATGAGAAAAGTCACCTGGGCTTGGGGTGATTTCTAAATTCACAATAACTTCTTTGTCAAGAGAATTAATAGTATATACCTTGAGAACCATTGACTACTTGTACCCTTATTGTATCTTATAGAGAAATCCTTTGTTTTCGGGTATCTTGTTCATTTTCAGAATTAGCCTGGACAGAATGTCATTTAGGCAGTGTTACAGGGAAATTGCCCAGGAGGTCCTGGATACTTGGGCTTGCATTTGGGTTGTAGGATGAGTGTGGAAAGGAGCCGTGTGAATTTGCTATGCTGGGGCTAGATGTGCTGTTAGCTGTTGCATGTCACCTCCAGCGCGCAGGTGACCCATGCTGTGAGGCCTCAGTAAAGCATTTCCTGAGAGGCTGACACAGTTCTTAAAGTATGCTGAAGTGTGGGTGGAGACCTGGGCACTGTGCCCAGCTCCATAACTCATTCATTGTGGGACCTCAGTGATCGTCTCTCATCTTCTTCCTGAAGAGTGGACAATAATAAAGCCATCTGGTTTCCTGTAAGGGTGTTTTGAGGATTAGAGTTAATCGTCTTGGAAGAAGGCAGCCGTACCTACCCTGGTCATAATTTTTACTGCCTTTCCTCGAAGTTGCAGTTTGGGGGAGGAGGTGAGCATAACATCGGGGAAAGAAGATGGAAGTGAGTTGTCTACAACTTGGTGAATTTCAATTCCTACTTTAGATTGTTGTTGGTAAGTGCCGTCGAGCTCTCATAGATAGAGAACCCTGTATAGGGTTTATGAGGAGTGACTGGTGAGCTTGAACAGCTGACCTTGCAGTTCAGACGGCTTTGCAGTCTGGCACATTAACCTACAGTGCCACACCAGGACTCCTACTTTAGATTAGGTTTCCTTTTTAGCTGGGGAATTTGAGCTAACCTGCAATTTGTACTTTAAAAAAAAACATAATAACAAGCCAAATGTCTGACCTGCTGTTTGTGGGCAAAGAACAGATGCCTCTTACTAATAAAGATGGTAGTGGTTTTCTCCTATTCCCAAGGGAAGAAGATGGGTTAAAAGACAGTGTAGATTTAAGTGAAGTTTGCTTTATTTTCCCATTACTGTTATGTTCTTCTCGAGAGTTGGTATTGCTTCATTTTATTGACTTTTCATGTTTCTTTGACAGAGAAACTTCATTGAGATGCAGCCAAAACCTAGAAGGGTTATGTAACAAAAAACAATTGAGCATGCATGCACACAAAAATCAATTGCTGTAAATGTAAAACATGTCAGTCTGAAATTAAAATATGTTGGTGGACATATCTGCTTTGAATTTATTCAGTAAACTAATTTAAATTAACAGTGAAAACTTTGGGGTTCACCCCACAATGGGAAATTTGACCTTACTTAGTATTTTTGGACTTACAGGTGTTGACCTTGGGGTGTTTTTGGTTAAAGTGTTCTTCCTCTTGGAATTTTGTTGTGAAATACCATATTTGTCATATTGTGTTGGTACAATGTAGTTTTCAAAGCCAAAGTCTCTAAAGTAGTGGATACGGTACCCCCTCCTCCCCATGTGTAACTGTTTAAAAAACCACTGTTGTCATGTGAATTCTTACTTTTTTTGAGCTTGCTTTTGAAGTAACTTTCACAGCGAATTCCTGTTACCTAGACATTGATGACAGACTTACACCATTTCCTTTTTTTTTCTTAGACGTTCCATCCTCAGAGCAGCCTGAACTGTTCCTAAAGAAACTTCAGCAGTGCTGTGTCATTTTTGACTTCATGGACACGCTATCTGATCTTAAAATGAAAGAATACAAGCGCTCCACTCTTAATGAACTGGTGGACTACATTTCAATAAGCAGAGGCTGTTTGACAGAGCAGACTTACCCTGAAGTAGTTAGAATGGTGAGTTTCTTTTTTTCGCCGCGGACACTTTTCAGCACCTTCCATAGCGACTTACAGGTGTATTTATTGCAGGGTGAGGTCCCTGGAAGTCACCTCCACAAATGAGAGCCAGCCTTCTGAGAGCTAAGCAAAAGTAGTCGGCACAATACTAAAATATGAAGAGCATGATTTCATGAGAATGAAATCCACAGCTTTTTAACTGCAACCATATTGAAGGAATCAATGACTTTAAAATCTGAAGCCACGATTGCCAGGGTATGATTGGATGTCTGGCTTTTGGGAAAAGCAAAAGACAAAGGAGAATCAACAGAAGTTTTAGATTTGTATTTGAAAAATATTCAAACCTGTTGGATGTCTTGAGTGTCTTTCCCCCTCCTCCTCTATATTGGCTTAATGAATTGTGATTTGTAGAATCTAGTTAAGGCCTCTCTTGCCTTTATCATTAATCCTTCTTTTTATAATCTGCTTACAATCAGGGCAGTGTCTTATGCATTGTAAATGACGTCTTGTACTTTGTGCGGTCCTTCGAGGTTAAGATAAGAATTATTATTAGCATACTGTAAGTAACTGTATTCTTATTGGGTCAGCAGCTATACACTTTCTCAAAAGCTGAGCCACAATATGATCTTTCTGTTAGATTTCTGTGGGATGGTTGCCTTCCTTGCCATTCTTGGGTGTCTTGGATCTAAAGAGTGCATGCAATTTTGGGAGGTATGTTCCAATAACTCATCAAATGCTACAGTGGCTTAAAAGGGCCAATTCATCATTGGGAAGCTAACTGGGGGATCTGGTCTCCTCTCTGTGTACTGCTGAAAATATCTGGCGTTGCAGCAAAGGATATCTATGATGGGGGAGATATAAGGGCTTCACAAAGTTTGTGGGTGGGGGAAATGGGTTTAAAAGATAATGGAATTTTTCCATGTACATATTGAAGCCCCTTGTATGGTTACAAAGGAATCAAAGTCAAATTTGGGAAGAGACCTGAATTATCACAACTTAAAAAGCTATGATGATGTATGAAGGTTATTTCAAAACAGTATCTGATTATATCCCTCAGACCTATGCCTGAATCTATGTTGTGCTTGCTGTTAATATAGAGGAATGTTGTACTAGAGTATTTGTTGGCTAGCTGTTAATGTTTTGGCTTTTGAGCAGTGATTCTCAATCAGGGATGGATTCGGCCTCCCAAAGGACATTTGGCAAAGTCTACAGACATTTTTTTGGGGTAGGAAAATGTTTGAGGTAGGAATACTACTGCCATCTAGTGAGTAGAAATCAGGGATAGTGCTATAATGCATGTTGTTGTTAAGTGCCGTTGAGCCAGTTCTGACCCATAGTGACCCATAGTGCTAAACCTCCTGTAATGCATGTTTTTGTTAAGTGCCCTCAAGTCAGTTCTGACTCATAGTATAGGGTTTCTGAGGAACAGTTGGTGAGCTGGAACCACCGACATTGCAGTTCAAACAGCTTTGCAGTGTGGCACATTAACCCACATGCCATACCAGTACTCCCCCTATAATGTATGGTGGTGGTGGTGGTGGTGGTAATGTGCTGTGGAGTCAGTTCCAACTCATAGCTACCCTGTGTAGGGTTCCCAAGGCTGTAAATCTTTACGGGAGCGGAAAGCCTTATCTTTCTCCTGCAGAACTGCTGGTAGTTTCGAACTACTGACCTTGAGGTTTTCAGCCCGATTTGTAATCGCTATGCTACCAGAGCTCCTCTTATTATGCATAGGAGATTGTTATTGTTGTTAACCTTCAAGTTATTTTTAACTTATAGTGACCTTAAGTTTCCGAGGAGTGACTGTTGGGTTTGAACTGCTGACCTGTGGTTAGCAGTCCAGTGTTGATCCTACAGCGCCATACCAGGGCTCCATATTCATTAACACACTCTGCCCCGCCCCACACTAAATTATCCAGCTAGAAATGCCGATAGTGTTACTATTGAGAAACCTTACTCGAGTTTGCATGCTAGCTGAACCTTTTGCACTGATTAATGGAGTCTTTTCTAATTTACCTGCCTCTGCAAACCATACCTGTTGGTTTTAGCCTACCTTTGTCCTGTCTTTCCTTTTTCCAAAGGCATCCACTATTTTATATTTATTTTCTGTATCCTTCCATGGCTAATCTATGAATATGTAATCACATTCAAATGTATATGATTTAAATCTTGTTTTTTCTTAAACACATAAATGATGGCATATTTCTTAAACACATAAGTGATGCTGTCTGTATCTTGTTTTTTTCACTTGATAGTCTTGTGCCATGGAGTCGGTTCCTACTCATAGCAACCCTGTATAGGGTTTCAAAGGCTGTAAGTGCTTATGGGAGAAAGCCTTATCTTTCTCCCAGGGAACCCCTGGTAGTTTTGAAGTGCTGACCTTGAGATTAGTTGGTTTAAGCGTACCAGCCGCTCTTCAGAAACCCTACACAGGGTCGCTGTGAGTCGGAACCAACTTGACTGTACTTAACAACAACTAGTACTCTGTGACTATTTTTTTGTATGCATATCAGTTGCCCCTTGTGGGAGAACAGCTGCACATCTGTTGATATTTTTACATACCCCTCTCTCCATTTCTGGATCTTCATGTTTTCCTTGTTCCTCCTTCTTCATTCGCATTCTCACCCTCCCTTCAAGATGTATCTTAAGGTGATGCCACGTTTCTGAAAAAGCCTCATTGCTTTCTCCTTCCTTCCGTTTCTCTGCTTTTTTGTAGATCGCCCTTTTGGAGTATGTTCATTTGCTGCTTTGAATCCTTTTACACATTTACCTGATTTTTCTAACTATACGCACTTTGGGGCAGGGACTGTGTCCTGTACGTCTCCGTGTTCATCTCCCCCTGAGCTCAGTGCTACCTCTGTGGCTCCTGACTGAAATTTGTTGAATGAGTGAATGAACTCCTTTAAAATATGGGAATGGCTTTAAAGATATTGACGTCATTGGACTTAGTTTTAAAACTCCCTATTTAGAATAATACAAAAACGCTTTCATTCTTGTAATCCAACTTCTTCTGAAGGAGACCATATGTCTTCTCTCTTACACTCTTTTTTTTTTTTTTCCTCCCCTGCTCCCCAAAAGGCTCTTATCATTTATGTGTGAGCGTGTGTTTTACATATACTTGAACCCTGCTCTCATAGGTGTTAGTTTATAGAAAGCTGTCTGGGGTGGTAGGGAATTTACTTTCCAGATGGTAGTTTAGCCTTGTTAGAGGTGCAGTTCATTTTTCATATCTGGTCATTTGTAAAATTATTAGCTTCTAATTTTACATGGGCTTTGAGTCTGGGGAAATTTATAAAAGAGGCAGTGTAATAGTGTAGAAAGAGAAAGGCTCTGGGAATTAGATAGACTGAGTTCAAGTCCAGCTCTGGTTACTTATTAATGCACCATCCATCACCTGGAGCAAGATGCTAACAGATATGTCTGTAGGTCTGGTGGGGGCTGGGGAGATGTCCATAGATACAGCCTGTCTAAGTAAATTTGTTCTAACCACCTCAAGCACACCTGTGTCTCGTAACTAGTGCTTCTGAAGAAGAGTTGGAAACAAGTCCTCCCATGGTGCTGCCTCTTTCTCCCTGTTTTGCCACGTCTAAACCCTTTGTATATAGAAAATTTCTGCCTTTTCTCACTTTGCTTGCCTGCATTGGACTTGCATTTGGGAATTTTGTGAGGATTGGTGAAGATTATGTGTACACTTCTTAGAACAGTCCCTAGCATGGCAGCCACTCAGTAAATAGTATTGTCAAACATTAAATAAATAATACTCTTGTCATGTTTTGATGGTTTCGGTACTGTAATAATTTATATTCATTGGTAGAACCCACACACAGTTTATGTTTGTGCCTAAAATGTTCTGTCAGCTAGATGTTTGCCCTGCCCTGCCTTAGTAGTTCTCAGATTCTTTCATTTCAAGACCATCCTGCCTGTTGATTAGTCACTTTCTTGTCTTTGTAAAACAACCACCTCGCTGGTGTTACTGAGGGAAATGGTAGTGCTTTTAATGAACCATCACCCAAGTATTTCTGGCTTATGCAAAGCAGGATGAGTTCTAATTTATGACAGCTTGCTGTGGTGTCAACATTATTGTTAAAAGCCTGTGCTCCAGCCTGATGGAACATAGACTTTGAGAGTGGCTAGTCCTGTTCATGGAAGAAAAGGGGGATAGCTGAAAGTAACCTGTGATTTATGGGGAATTGTTTATAACATTTAAATGAAGTCTGAATACCACCTAGAGACTTCTCGGATTAAGAAAGGAAACCAACTAGAGTGTAAACCAAACCAAATGAAGTAATACAACACATGAGTTGCCCGTTATTGTTGTTGTTAAGTGCCGTGTAGTCAGTTCCCACTTATAGTGACCCCCTGTAGGGTTTCCGGGGAGTGGTTGGTGAGTTTGAACTGCTAACCTTGTGGTTCAAACCAGCGTTGAGGTCGAGTGCTTATCCTACAAGAACGGCAGACAGAGAATGTAGACGCCACTGTACACATTTCGCATCTTTCACTTAACTAGTGGTGGGATCTTGGATAAGTTATTTCCCCCCTACACCTCAGCATCTTCTGTGCTGATTATCTCTCACATTCTTCCAGCTCAGAAAAACACCAACTGTTTTGATTAACACAGTGTAAGAATTTTAGAACAGATTATTAAAGTATGCACACCATTGTCAAAGTGGTTGCTAAGGTGTATATATATATATATACACACACACACACACACACACACATACACACTCACAGAGCATTTTGACTTTGGTACATTCTGCTTTGGATCATCTTGAGTATCAGGCTTCTGTTCTTGAGACAGTACTTGTACCACATTATGTTCAGTTTTCCTTTTGGTTCTGTTTTCAAATGTATCCATTTGAAAGGTTTCTTAGAATTTTTAACTTCCCAAGTAATCTTGTGTTGACCACAGAATACCAGGCGAAGCGGGTTCAGGGCAGAGCTCCAAAACTGAACCACATATCTAGGAATATTTTAAAAGTTTGAAGGCTTATAGCTAG